ACGTGTGGACTCTTACAGCCTCTCTGCGTGCGGAGGCTCAAGCAAGCTCACACTGGCTCCAGCGACAGCTGCCCTGTCTTCTTGCGGAGGCATACACGGGCTACAATGCTGCAGGCCGGACAGGTACCCTGTCCTTGCTGGAGGCATATACCGGCTATAATGCTGCATGTCCACAGCTGCCCTGTCCTTGCTGGAGGCAAACACGGGCACTGCATAGAGACACTGCATACCAGCCCGTCTTGAGTGACCTGAGACGGACGAAACCCGAGTCGGGTCCTTGGGCGGGCGTAGTGCAATATTCTGAGGACTCGACGTCTTCCGATCCTATAACTCCTAAGTATTAACAACACAAGACGATTGAAGCAGAATCATTTCGTACGCGCCCGTTTGTTCAACTTAGTGGATGGCGAAGCCGAGAAAACTTGCTGACACAGTTTCAGGTCGGCACTCAGATTATCCTCGTCCCCAAACTCTCCCTCGTAATCCGACTCCTCGCTGCTGTCATCTTCTCCCTGACCACCATCATGTACCATCACGCACTAGCAGCAGACTCCGGTACCTGTCGCCTGGTAGCCTCTGCCGATCTGTGTGTAGTATTGAAGGTTGAGATTAGCGCACGACCAACCGCTCGGTCCAGTTCGGCACGCTTATGCTCGAGCCATGCTAGGCAGGATTCCGGACTAGAGTAGATCTCTGAATAAACGGAAGACACATCATCGAGAGCTACCATCCCGCAGCACGGAGTATTCACCTTGTGGCCCCGACAGCGGGACACCAATAGGCAAGCTTTTCCCTCGGAGACCTTGGGAGTCGACAACCTCAGTCATAGCGTCTCGTTGACGGTCGAGCCATGTCTGCCATCTACGGGCCCGTGTCAGACGCAGGTCATCTCTGAGCTGATCGAACACTGCATCGTTCTCTCCTGCTCGCTCTTGCGGTGTTAAGGAGGCCGCGCCAGGCTGAACTGAGAATGAGACAACAAACTGCTCATCGATAGGGCCAGTCAGATACGGCGCTCCAGGGCTCACTTCTGATAGTAACGTTCCGGTCCGGTACCCAAGTGCTGCTACTGGAGAGGCTTTCGGCATTGCCTACAGCGGTAGCGCTGCCTCCTTCCTCTGTGGCGAACTCAGCGTCGAGGTCTATCTCATTAAAGACCTCATCCAAGCTCGTTGGAAGCAGTATTTCCAACGCGTTATCAATGCGTGCTATACAATGGTCAATATCAGCCATCTCAGCGCTCTTCAGGGACTCCACAACCTGATACGGCGCCGATCAGCCATGATAGTGGTGGAGAATACGCGCGTCACCAACCACGCGTGCTGACGACAATAAGGAGATCCGGAGGGGATTTTGGGGAAATCTTGTTGCTTTTCGAACACTTCCCCTTCAATCAACGTGCAAGTTTTCCACTTTTCATGCACTGAGATAGCCAAATATATCTTCCAAAACGGGCTCACACAGAACAACGCCTCACGATCAAGATTGATTTGGAAGGCAATCCCCTCAGGGCATTCGAGCTTACCCTTTTCCATACACCAAGCAAGCGCTCTTCCTGCGCCGCCTCTGACAGCTCTCGAAGATGTCTGCGATCCGGTACTGTATCTCGGTCTCTTGAGCGTAATGAAGCCAACAGGGACTGGTCGAGCAGAGGCAAGTCAGGTCGCCCCAGTACGGCGTCATTCACCTCTAATGGTGCCGCATAATCCTTTTCACCGTAATTGAGCTCCCATTCCGAGAGGCATTGTACAGCAGTATCTCTGAGGTCCCGAGCATAGACTGATTGCTTCCGGTACCCTATGAGCCCCCAAGACTTCGCCTGATGACGAATTCATCACTCATCCGGAAGAGGCGAGAAGAAAATCCAGTTGAACTTCGCTGTCTTAGTCAAGGACTACTGCCGCGATGCCTATCGATGATCGAGAGCTCATGAGCTCATCCAATTCGTCTCCGATAGAAGCTGAAGGACTTACGGCTTTCTTCAGTACACGTACGTCACCCAAGAACCATTTTCTAGCCGCCACACTGGACTTGACCAGTTTTCTAATAACATTTTCCAGCAGTCTGTGTCGAACTCGAAGATTGGGATGGCCGAGAAGCTCCTTAACGATCACTGCCTCGGCGGCCGAGATCGCTGCGTTCCCATGTGCCTGTCATTGTATAGGAATGGCTCCGATATAGTACTGCGTCCACCTTGCACATGGTCTTCACTACGTCCCATGCGGGGCTCCTTTTCTCTGCCTGGCTATCAGGGGTCAATGCAAGGGTTCGAATAGCCTTCTCCAGGTTTTCCCGATCGTCTGTGTCAGACGGCGTTGCCATACACGAGTGAAGGATCTACTCCAAAGAGAGTAGTGATTCATATGATTCGTTCCATAAGGTGCCCACTAGATGAACTCAACTGGTGCTGTTGATCAGAATGATACTTCAGATGGAGTCACTTTCACACTAACACGAATACCAAAAAAATCGGAATAATTGCAAATAGAAAAAAGACTGAGCTCACTGCGACCAGATGCGAGGCTGTCCACCTCTGTGGTCTTCGAAAACGGTCACGCTTGCCCTGACCATTCATTAAATACAAAAGGGGTCTATACTGCTACCCAGTGGGAATGCGCAAGGTCAGGATGTCTACAAAAGGTGG